GGCGAAGATACAGAGGAAGGTCGGGTGCCTTGTTAGGATTCGTAGGCAAGTGAGTAAATCGCCATTACCATCGGTTCTATTGGCCAACGTGCAATCACTGGAAAACAAACTCGATGATCTACGGTCGAGACTATCCTACCAACGGGACATTAAAAATGATAATATCTTATGTTTCACCGAGTCGTGGCTGAACTATGACACAGATAATATAGAGCTGGCTGGGTTTTCCGTGCATCGGCAGGACAGAGCAGCTACGTCTGGTAAGATGAAGGGCGGGGGTTTGTGTCTATTTGTCAATAACAGCTGGTGCGCGATGTCTAATAAGAAGTCTTGAGGTATTGCTTGCCTGAGGTAGAGTACCTCATGATAAGCTGTAGACCACACTATCTACCGGGAGAGTTTTCATCTATATTTTTCGTAGCCATCTATTTAATACCACAAACCGATGCTGGCACTAAGCCCGCACGCAACGAGCTGTATAAGGCCATAAGCAAACAAGAAAATGCTCATCCAGAAGCGGCACTACTAGTGGCCGGGGACTTTAATGCAGGCAAACTTAAATCCGTTTTACCTAATTTCTACCAGCATGTCACATGTGCAACCAGAGGGAAAAAAAACTCTAGACCACCTTTACTCCACACACAGAGACGCATACAAAGCTCTAACTCGCCCTCCATTTGGCAAATCTGACCATAATTCTATCCTCCTGATTCCTGCTTACAAGCAAAGACTAAAGCAGGAAATACCAGTGACTCGCTCAATACGTAAGTGGTCAGATGACGCGGATGCTATGCTAGCACAGACTGGAATATGTTCCGGGATTCATCCAATGGCATTGAGGAGTATACCACCTCAGTCACCGGCTTCATCAATAAGTGCATTGACGACGTCGTCCCCACAGTGACCATACATACATCTCCCAACCAGAAGCCATGGATTACAGGTAACATCCGCACCGAGCTAAAGGCTAGAGCTGCCGCTTTCAATGAGCAGGACACTAATCTGGACGCTTATAAGAAATCCCGCTATGCCCTCAGACGAACCATCAAACAGGCAAAGTGTCAATACAGGACTAAAATTGAATCCTACTACACCGGCTCTGACGCTCGTCGGACGTGCCAGGGCTTGCAAACTATTACGGATTACAAAGGGAAACCCAGCCGCGAGCTGCACAGTTACGCGAGCCTACCATACGAGCTAAATGCCTTTTATGCTCACTTCGAGGCAAGTGACATTGAAGCATGCATGAGAGCACCAGCTGTTCCGGACGATTGTGTGATCACGCTCTCTGTAACCGATGTGAGCAAGACCTTTAAACAGGTAAATATTCACAAGGCCGCGGGGCCAGACGGATTACCAGGGCTTGTACTCAGAGCATGCGCAGACCAACTGGCAAGTGTCTTCACTGACATTTTCAACATCTCCCTGACCGAGTCTGTAATACCCACATGTTTCAAGTAGACCCAAGAATGCGAAGGTAACCTGCCTAAATGACTACCACCCCGTAGCACTCACGTCGGTAGCCATGAAGTGCTTTGAAATGCTGGTCATGGCTCATATCAACACCATCATCCCAGAAACCCTAGACCCACTCCAATTCACATACCGCCCCAACAGATCTACAGATGACGCAATCTCAATCGCACACCACACTGCCCTTTCCCACCTGGACAAAAGGAACACCTATGTAAGAATGCTTTTCATTGACTACAGCTCAGCGTTCAACACCATAGTGCCCACAAACCTCATCAATAAGCTAAAGATCCTGGGACTAAACACCTCCCTCTGCAACTGTATCCTTGACTTCCTGACGGGCCGCCCCCAGGTGGTAAGGGTAGGCAACAACACATCTGCCATGCTGATCCTCAATACCGGGGCCCCTCAGGGGTGCGTGCTTAGTCCCCTCCTGTACTCTCTGTTTACCCACGACCGCGTGGCCAAGCAGGACTCCAACACCATCATTAAGTTTGCTGACGACACAACAGTGGTAGGCCTGATCATCGACAACGATGAGACAGCCTATAGTGAGGAGGTCAGAGAACTGTCAGTGTGGTGCCAGGACAACAATCTCTCCCTCAATGTGAGCAAGACAAAGGAGATGATGGTGGACTACAGGAATAGGAGGGCCGAACAGGCCCCTATTAACATTGACGGGGCTGAAGTGGAACGTGTCGAAAGTTTCAAGTTCCTTGGTGTCCACATCACCAACAAACTATCATGGTCCAAACACACAGAGACAGTCGTGAAGAGGGCACGACAACACCTTTTCCCCCTCTGGAGACTATCTACAGACTATCAGTAACATTTGAACTAACTATCTACTAAACCTAACCTTAACCCTTATCCTAACCCTAAACTCAACTCCTACCCTAGCCCTAACCGTAACCTTAGCAAGCAGTTGCTTATCAACACATAGTTTGTTGATAGTATTGTGAAGGAAAAATTTAACGTAATGACAATTGTGTTAGACAACTGTACTGTGTGCTTTAAAGCTATTACCCAAGTTGAACTAGAACCAGACAAATCTGGATTTGAGGAAGTGGAGTATGAAACGTGTGTTATGCATTGAAGAGAGGAGTGGGGGGATGTATATCACCTGGATACCTGTATGTATGTCTTTTATAATAGATAAGCTTGCCAAGAAAACTCAGCAGAAAAGAGAATACTGATCTAAACCAGATGTTCCTTGCCTATATAAGCTATAATGTATTTGTGTCTAGGAGAGTCCAATGCTGGCTGGGTCCAGAAAAGGTCTCTCCTGCGTAGGTCACTTGTAGTTTTCTCGACTACAAGAGCTGATTTTTCTACAACAGTATCCGGACTACCAAATAAAGTGTTACCCAATTGTTTGGTTGAAAACAAGGAATGCCTTTTCAAACAGAAACAGGTGTGTGTGTGCATGTGTGTATGTGTGTGTGTGTGAATGTTGCTAACTCTCAGTTTTGACAAACAGGTCCAGACTGGACCAAATCTGAACCAATCATAGATGTTTATGTTACAAAGGTTTGGACAGCACAGTATACAGTAGAGCACAGCAGAGTACAGTACAGTAAAGTAAATAAAAGTAGAGAGTATTCAGTAGAGTAATAATAATATGCCATTTAGCAGACGCTTTTATCCAAAGCGACTTACAGTCATGCGTGCATACATTTTTTTTTTTAGTATGGGTGGTCCCGGGGATCGAACCCACTACCTTGGCGTTACAAGCGCCGTGCTCTACCAGCTGAGCTACAGAGGACCACAAGGGTACAGTAGGTACAGTAGGGTACAGTAAAGAAAAGTAAAGTAGAGTTAATTTCAGTACAGTACAGTACAGCACAGTAGGATGAAGTACAGTAAAGAAGAGTTCAGTATAGGGCTGGGTGATATGGCCAAAGCGGTATTTTTCACATTTTTGACGGTATGATGGTATTTGACAGTATTTTATGTTTTTGAATAATACAAGTTTAAATTTGATTTTTGAGTAGTGCATGACTCCTAGGGTGGCAACATACATTCTAAATGATTTCAATGGGTCTTTCTCCATTCTGATTGTTTTATACTGTTCAATTAAACTTCAACCAAAAATACATTTCTGCATTTTCATCAATTTCTGCATTTCCTGCACTCATTGAGATAATTTCCACACTGCCACGTAGGGCTGCTCGATATGGGCAAAAAATCTAGGCCTTATTTTTAACCAAATGTTGCAATTGTGATTTGATTGATGATTTAGATCAAAACACTTGGGTGAACTGTTGGAACTGTAAAAATAATGATTATTCTAATTATATAGTTAGAAGATAATAGTGGGCACATTGAATACAGTGTTGTTTGACATGACAACGAATGAAAATGCCTGGGAGGAGTTATTGTGACAGGGTAGGAAGCAAAGTGTTGGTCAGTGTTTCCTTGGACACCCTATGATCTTTGGCTCCATTCAATGTTTTCTCTTAGCTACTTCATGTAGCTAACATATGCACTTGAGTGACAGCGGGCAGGGCTAGGTCTGTGTGGAAAGTGGCATGGAGAGAGAGAGCAGAGAGATGACTCAAGTAGTGGCGTAAACTATAAAAATGGACGTTAAACACAGCATATCACATTTAACAAACCAAACATACAAATACCGTTATAGAAGGTAAAGTAAAAAACCAAACAAGTCTGTGCATCAATACTGGTATATAGTAAAATACGGTATACAGCTCAGCCCTAGTTCAGTACAGTAGAGTACAGTATTGTATCCTACTTTACTCTACTGAATTAACTCAACTGTACTGTACTCTAATGTACTGTACTCTACTGAATTAAACTCAACTGTACTGGACTGTATATTTACTCTACTTTGCTCTACTGTACTGTACTGTACTGTACTCTACTGAATGTAACTGTATTGCACTGTGGTGTACTGTACTCTGCTGAATTAAACTCCACTGGACTGTACTGTGCTGTACTGTGCTGTCCAAACTTGTGAAACATAGATGTCTTTTCAATGTCCGGAAAATAAGTATTCTAGGCGTCTTTTCAATGTAATTCAGCTGACGGGGTACATTGTTACAAAACAACCCCCCCCCCCCCCCCCCCCCCCCCCCCAATGCTAATTAAGATGCTATTTACCACATGACTTGATCTATGGAAAAAAATTAACACATTTTAAATAAAGCTCTCACTTTCCTCTTTTCAAAATAAGTAATTGTTTATGGATACTCCCATCATACAACTATTTATGAAAGAAATAACAAGCATGTGAATATTTACTTTCACCCATGAAAAATGCTAATATTCCTCTCACCTCAATGTTTTGTGATCCTGACCTGAATTGACCACATGGATGACCTCTCCTATAGAGGATACACATTTTTATCTTGAAATAAAAAATGTACACAGCTCCCTTTGTGATAGGCACTGTGACAACCAACCAATGAGACAACCAACCCCAGTCTCCCCTATAATTAGTATATTTATGATGAGAAGTGTGGTGGTAACCATTGTGTTGTTGTGCAGGTAAGATCGTAGCCAACCAGATGGTGGACTTTGAGCAGGTGCAGTGGCTGAACTTCACAGTGAGAGCTCAGGACCACGGCAGTCCACCCAGAGTGGCTGAGCTTCCTGTCTACCTGCGTATAGTAGACATCAACGATAACAAGCCCATCTTTACACAACCCTCTTACAAGGTACCAAAAATACTGATTCATAACATACACTGCAAAGTGTGTCACGCTTTAGGCGTCAGCATACTTCGGTTCAGCTGGTGCCAATAGGCGAACTGAACGAGTGTACTCACATACTACCTTAAAAGACATTCGTTTGAAAATAGAGAAAAAAGCGGCAATAGTATCTTTTGTCCTTCTTGAGACGCCATAGAATTAATCAAAGATAACTCCAGAAATCTGTCATTAATTTCGACGTTGCAATTTTACATCTAACTAAGATGTTTGGTGCAGTATTTCTCAAATAAATAATGTTGCATGAAAACGATTTGTCTCTTGTTGAATGACACTTCATTGAATAATCCCTACTGTTGACCAATCACCAACGAAGGGGCATAGACTTTGGCTACCGACTTCAGCTTGCCTTGAGAGAAAACATTTGTGTGCAAGAACAGCCGAAAACGCTTGCCAAAGACCAAAACGAACAAAAACGTCACAATGTCGTCATTATATACAGTGCTTTCGGAAAGTATTCAGACCCCTTGACTTTTTCCACATTTTGTTATGTTACAGCCTTATTCTAAAATTGATCAAATTGTTTTTTTCCCTCTCATCAATCTACACACAATACCGCATAATGACAAAGCAAAAACAGGTTTTTCACATTTACATAACTATTCAGATCCTTTACTCAGTACTTTGTTGAAGTACCTTTGACAGCAATTACAGCCTCGAGTCTTCTTGGGTATGACGCTACAAGCTTGGCACACCTGTATTTGGGGAGTTCCTCCCATTCTTCTCTGCAGAACCTCTCAAGCTCTGTCAGGTTGGATGGGGAGCGTCGCTGCACAGCTATTTTCAAGTCTCTCCAGAGATGTTAGATCGTGTTCAAGTCTGGACTCTGGCTGGGCCACTCAAGGACATTCAGAGACTTCTCCCGAAGCCACTCCTGTGTTGTCTTGGCTGTGTGCTTAGGGTCGTTGTCCTGTTGGAAGGTGAACCTTTGCCCCGGTCTGAGGTCCTGAGCGTTCTGGAGCAGGTTTTCATCAAGGAACTCTCTGTTCATCATTCAGGCCAAAGAGTTCAGTCTTGGTTTCATCAGACCAGAGAATCTTGTTTCTCATGGTCTGAGAGTCCTTTAGGTGTCTTTTGGCAAACTCCAAGCGGGCTGTTATGTGCCTTTTACTGAGGAGTGGCTTCAGTCTGGCCACTCTACCTTAACGGCCTGATTGGTGGAGTGCTGCAGAGATGGTTGTCCTTCTGGACGCTTCTCCGATCTCCACAGAGGAACTCTGGAGCTCTGTCAGAGTGACCATCAGGTTCTTGGTCACCTCCCTGACCAAGGCCCTTCTCCCCCGATTGCTCAGTTTGGCCGGGCAGCCAGCTCTAGGAAGAGTCTTGGTGGTTCCAAACTTCTTCCAATTTAGAATAGAGGCCACTGTGTTCTTGGGGACATTCAATGCTGCAGGAATTTTATGGTACCCTTCCCCAGGTGTGTGCCTTTCCAAATCATGTCCAATCAATTGAATGTACCACAGGTGGACTCCAATCAAGTTGTAGAAACATCTCAAGGATGATCAATGGAAACAGGATGCACCTGAGCTCAATTTCGAGTCTCATAGCAAAGGGTCTGAATACTTATGTAAATAAGATATTTTGTTTTAGATTTTTAATACATTTGCAAAAATGTATATCATCCTGTTTTCGCTGTTTCATTGTGTGTAGATTGATGAGGAAACATTTTAGTTTAATCAATTTTAGAATAAGGCTGTAACGTAACAAAATGTTGAAAAAGGGAAGAGGTCTGAATACTTTCCGAATGCACTGTATGCACAAACTGTTTCGAATGGGAAGCATGCGGACGCCTTTAGTAGTACTCACTTGATATTGTTTCTATTGTGATGGTCTGAGTTTGTGCATGTGTGCATGTGCGTATGCTGATGTTGTTGTGTCACGCTGTCCCTCTGCAGAAGCCAGTGTTTGAGGATGTTGACTTGGGCACGGTCATAGTGAGAGTCAGTGCCACAGACGCAGACTCGGGCCTCTTCTCTGTCATCGAGTACGGCCTGGTAGACGGAGAGGGCAAGTTTGGCATCACTCCCTCCACTGTGAGTTCTGTAATATGTTTTAACATGAATAAACACACACACACACACACTTTGTAGTGCTTGAAGTGGATTACTTTTTACTTCACATATCACAGCACTTCACAAATTGGTGCAGGCAATTGAAATATACTGTTTATATTTAGGAGCCGGAACTTTTAAGCCAGTATTCTGTAGGAGGTGACGGTAATCGAGCAGTAGAAAATTCAAGGTGCTGGTACCCGGTACCAGTGTGCACCTGCCCAATTCAAGCACTGCACTTACGCACAAACACACATACATACACATGCACACACACAAACACAGACACAAACACACACACTCTCTCCTCTCTTTTGTTTTCACTCTCTTTTGTACTCTTTCTCTTTCAAAGAAAATGAACTGACTCATCTACAATGAATGTACAAAACATTAGGAACACCTTTTTAAAATTGATTTGCACCCCTCTTGCCCTTAGACCAGCCTCAATGTATTGGGGCATGGACTCTACAAGGTGTCGAAAGCGTTCCACAGGGATTCTGGCCCAGGTTGACTCCAGTGCTTTCCACAGCTGTGTCAAGTTGGCTGGATGTCCTTTGGGTGGTGGACCATTCTTGATACACACGGGAAACTGTTGAAACCCAGTAGCGTTGCAGTTCTTGGCACACTCAAACTGGTGCGCCTGGCACCTACTACCATACCCTGTTCAATGGCACTTAAATATTTTGTCTTGCCCTTTCACCCTCTGAATGGCACACATACACAATTCATGTCTCAATTGTCTCAAAGCTTAAACATCCTTATTTAGCCTGTCTCCTACCCTTCATCCACACTGATTGAAGTGGATTTAACAGGTGACATCAATAAGGGATCATAGCTGTCACCTGGATTCACCTGGTCAGTCTATGTCATGGAAAGAGCAGGCGTTCCTAATGTTTTGTACACTCAGTGTATGTTGAATGATCATCGAAATTGCACTTAAATGTGGAATATGGGACCTGGAATGATACATCTTACTAGCCTAAGAAGACAGACATTTTCAGATACAAGTTGACTTTGTAGAGGTAAAGGAGGAGACTCGAGTCCAAGGTTGCGGTCGGAATAATAGCTTTAAAGGATCACTTTACTCAAAAACTATCTTTTGGTGTGTTATTCATTAGTCCACTGTTAATACAATCCCCCAAAATGGTCAGGTTTTTTAAGGTGGAGCACTCCAAAAACTGTGATGATGATGCTGCCTTTTAAATCATATAAGTGAACTATCCCTTTAACGCAGAGCTCCTTGGGTACAAGCAGTCACACTTGATGCAAAGGCTAGTACAAAATGAAACGTCCTTAATCTAGAGGTTTTATAAGTATGCGTTGATCACTTCAGTGTCACAATTATGTACATTATTTCTGTCATAAAACAGACATTACATTCTTGTAAGGAGGATGAACTTTTGTCACATAGTTTGTTTTTCTGCCTATTACGGTAGCCTAAATGTTCTATGTCTGCTGCTTTGACTCCTGTCAGTCTTCTGCATTTCATTGGAGTAGGGTGTAGTTGCCCGTAGACACTGATCTTGTGCAGTTTTGCATTTCCACTAATGGTTAAAGGGTAGGTAGTATAAACGTAACCACATGTAACATATGGATTTTCATTAGTATACGCATCAAAAGTCCCAATGCAAAGTTACACCATACATATCTATTTTTCGAGTTATTAGATATAACCGATCAGAATTCATGCCGGAAAATGTTTTTGCGGGGTGCGACATTATATGGAGGACGCGGCAAGCCAGCCTATTCCCTATAATGTAAACTCCAACAGAAATTACTTCAAATGTATAACTTCAAATTAATCAAAATCGTTTGCACTAGGGTCGGGACGATACCAGTATCGCGGTACTCATTAGTATTGTGGCAAGAAAACAAAACATGAAGCTGATTTAACTTTTTTAGGAAAACAGCCCTAATGTTGAAAACAAAAATAATGATATTGTCATCCAGAGTCACATTTATTCATTTCCTAACCTATAGCACATAATATTTTACATACAGCAGGTTTTTAAAGGACCAAAGAGTTTGGTCTGTACCTGTTTTCATTTTTGCAATGGAAAAAATATTGTGATTCTGGTATCGTACTGGCCCTAGTGCAAATTATTTTGTTTAATTTGAAGTTATACATTTGAAGTAATTTCTGTTGCACTCATGACTACTGGCTTCAATTACATTTTCAGCCAATTTACAAGCAAATATTTATGAATTTATTGGTACAAATCAGCTTGCAAGGTTGCTAGCCAACTAGCCCGCTAGCGTTAGCCCTACTTGTCAGCCAGTTGCTATCAACACCTAGCTTACAGTTACATTTTAGTTAGTTTAGAGTTCTATAGATGCCATGGCGTCCTAGTAGCAGCCTAAGCACAGAGCTCCTGTAAATGTGTTCATATTTAGTTTTTTAAAAGTTTTTTATTTATTATTGTTGATTTTTAAATCAACATTGAGTTTTTATTTAATATATCTGGTGTTTTTGAGCCACTGATTTGCAGATTGACTGACAGGTTAACACTTTTTGGCTTGGATAGCTAGCTAGCTGGCTAATGTTTTGGTTTGAAAAATGCATATGGACACAGTACCAGCTTTTTTGTTTCACCTGGCTGCCAATTCCTGATCTTCTGAGAACATTACATTTACATTTTTGTCATTTAGCAGACGCTCTTATCCAGAGCGACTTACAGTTAGTGAATACATATATTTTTTTTATACTGGCCCCCCATGGGAATCGAACCCACAACCCTGGCGTTGCAAACGCCATGCTCTATCAACTGAGCTACATCCCTGCCGGCCATTCCCTCCCCTACCCTGGACGACTTGTGCGCCACCCATGAGTCTCCCGGGCGCGGCCGGCTGCAACAGAGCCTGGATTCGAACCAGGATCTCTAGTGGCACAGTTAGCACTGCGATGCAGTGCCTTAGACCACTGCGCCACTCAGGAGCAACATAATTTGAGAAGTTGCCTGAAGCGTGAGCGGAATGGGAGACAGAGTAATACAGCAGTGCTGAGGACAACTGGCTACTATTCAGAACTTTGTGTGGTGAGCTTTCTGGCGCCCAGAGCTGCTGAGGCATCACCCAAGTGGGTGTTACACAGAGTGGAATCGAAGAAGTCCAGTGGCTATAAGTCAGGCTGGTTCCCAGACTTGCCCTATACATGATCATCAGCAGACTCCATCACCATCATCTACCATCGCCTGACCAGCTCTCTCTGCCATTCACTGTCCTTTTACATCTTCGGAGGATGCAGCTTTCAGATACTTGGCCTCTATTGGTTGACATGTCATGATATATTGCTTGTTTGTTTTTTGCTTTTGAAATGCTTTGAGAGTCTATGAAAAGCGCTATAGAAATGTAATACATTATTATTATTATTATTATTATTATTATTGTTATTACATTAAATACATAACGCCATCTAACCATCAAACATTTTTACCGGTATATGCAGTTATCTTAGCCAGCAAACCAGCCAGCTAAAGTTAGTTACAGTGCCCTCCATAATTATTGGGACAGTGAAGCATTTTTTCTTATTTTGGCTCTATACTCCAATCCAATAGCGATATAGTGAGGTAAATCCAAAGTAGATACATTCCAGAGGCAATAATCCAAAGGCGGCATTGGGAAAAGGAGACGAGGGGAAGAGTCAACAATAAGACGGCGATCAGAGGAAGGCTCCAGGAAATGATCACAACAGCAGTCAGTCAGCTACTGTAGCGCGCTAGTACTAAGCCAAGGTTGAAGAACTCTGTAGCCTACTTCACAGAGATCATGCAGACCCCTTGTGTGGAGAATCTGATTGGTTGTTTACATCACACCTCCTCATGATTGGTCGATTGTAGCTCACCATTGCCAACACTCGGTCTGCATGGCTAGTGGCTAACTAACTTGAGCTAGCTAACCCAGTGTAGATTATAGATATGATGTTGAGAACGAATGCATTGTGGGTAGTTTGGAAAAGAAATTATAACTACAATTGAAGTCGGAAGTTTACATACACTTAGGTTGGAGTCATTCAAACTCGTTTTTCAACCACTCCACAAAGTTCTTGTTAACAAAATATAATTTTGGCAAGTCGGTTAGGACATCTACTTTGTGCATGACACAAGTAATTTTTCCAACAATTGTTTACAGACAGATTATTTCACTTATAATTCCCTGTATCACAATTCCAGTGGGTCAGAAGTTTACATACACTAAGTTGGCTGTGCCTTTAAACAGCTTGGAAAATTCCAGACAATGATGTCATGGCTTTAGAAGCTTCTGATAGGCTAATTGACATCATTTGAGTCAATTAGAGGTGTACCTGTGGATGTATTTCAAGGCCTACCTTCAAACCCAGTGCCTCTTTGCTTGACATCATGGGAAAATCAAATCAAAAGAAATCAAACAAGAACTCAAAATAAATTGTAGACCTCCACAAGTCTGGTTCATCCTTTGGAGCAATTTCCAAATGCCTGAAGGTACCACGTTCATCTGTACAAACAATAGTACGCAAGTATATACACCATGGGACAACGCAGCCGTCATATCGCTCAGGAAAGAGACGCGTTCTGTCTCCTAGAGATGAACATACTTTGGTGCGAAAAGTGCAAATCAATCCCAGAACAACAGCAAAGGACCTTGTGAAGATGCTGGAGGAAACAGGTACAAAAGTATCTATATCCACAGTAAAACTAGTCCTATATCGACATTACCTGAAAGGCCGCTCAGCAAGGAAGAAGCCACTACTCCAAAATCGCCATAAAAAAAGCCAGACTACGGTTTGCAACTGCGCACATGGGGACAAAGATTGTACTTTTTGGAGAACTGTCCTCTGGTCTGATGAAACAAAAATAGAACTGTTTGGCCATAATGACCATCGTTATGTTTGGAGGAAAAGGGGGGTGGCTTGCAAGCCGAAGAACACAATCCCAACCGTGAAGCACGGGGGTGGCAGCATCATGCTGTGGGGGTGCTTTGCTGCAGGAGGGACTGGTGCACTTCACAAAATAGATGGCATCATGAGGAAGGAAAATTATGTGGATTTATTGAAGCAACATCTCAAGACATCAGTCAGGAAGTTAAAGCTTGGTCGCAAATGGGTCTTCCAAATGGACAATGACTCCAAGCATATTTCCAAAGTTGTTGCAAAATGGCTTAAGAAAACAAGGTCAAGGTATTGGAGTGGCCATCACAAAGCCCTGACCTAAATCCTATAGAAAATGTGTGGGCAGAACTGAAAAAGCGTGTGCGAGCATAGATGCCTACTAAACTGACTCAGTTACACCAGCTCTGTCAGGAGGAATGGGCCAAAATTCACCCAACTTATTGTGGGAAGCTTGTGGAAGGCTCCCCGAAACATTTGACCCAAGTTAAACAATTTAAAGGCAATGCTACCAAATACTAATTTACATTTACATTTTACATTTACGTCATTTAGCAGACGCTCTTATCCAGAGCGACTTACAAATTGGTGCATTCACCTTATAGCCAGTGGGATAACTACTTTACAATGTGTTTTTATTTTATTTTATTTATTATTATTTTTTTGGGGGGGGTGAGTTGGGGTAAGGGAGGGGTAGAAGGATTACTTTATCCTATCCCAGGTATTCCTTAAAGAGGTGGGGTTTCAAATGTCTCCGGAAGTTGGTGAGTGACTCCGCTGTCCTGGCGTCGTGAGGGAGCTTGTTCCACCATTGGGGTGCCAGAGCAGCGAACAGTTTTGACTGGGCTGAGCGGGAACTATGCTTCCGCAGAGGAAGGGGAGCCAGCAGGCCAGAGGTGGATGAACGCAATGCCCTCGTTTGGGTGTAGGGACTGATCAGAGCCTGAAGGTACGGAGGTGCCGTTCCCCTCACAGCTCCATAGGCAAGCACCATGGTCTTGTAACAGATGCGAGCTTCAACTGGAAGCCAGTGGAGTGTGCGGAGGAGGGGGGTGACGTGAGAGAACTTGGGAAGGTTGAACACCAGACGGGCTGCGGCATTCTGGATGAGTTGTAGGGGTTTAATGGCACAGGCAGGGAGCCCAGCCAACAGCGAGTTGCAGTAATCCAGACGGGAGATGACAAGTGCCTGGATTAGGACCTGTGCCGCTTCCTGTGAAAGGCAGGGTCGTACTCTCCGAATGTTGTAGAGCATGAAACTACAGGATCGGGTCACCGCCTTGATGTTAGCGGAGAACGACAGGGTGTTGTCCAGGGTCACGCCAAGGCTCTTCGCACTCTGGGAGGAGGACACAACGGAGTTGTCAACCGTGATGGCGAGATCATGGAACAGGCAGTCCTTCCCCGGGAGGAAGAGCAGCTCCGTCTTGCCAAGGTTCAGCTTGAGGTGGTGATCCATCATCCATACTGTTATGTCTGCCAGACATGCAGAGATGCGATTCGCCACCTGGTTATCAGAAGGGGGAAAGGAGAAGATTAGTTGTGTGTCGTCAGCGTAGCAATGATAGGAGAGGCCATGTGAGGATATGACAGAGCCAAGTGACTTGGTGTATAGCGAGAATAGGAGAGGGCCTAGAACTGAGCCCTGGGGGACACCAGTGGTGAGAGCACGTGGTGCGGAGACAGCTTCTCGCCACGCCACTTGGTAGGAGCGACCAGTCAGGTAGGACGCAATCCAAGAGTGAGCCGCGCCGTAGATGCCCATCTCGGAGAGGGTGGAGAGGAGGATCTGATGGTTCACAGTATCAAAGGCAGCAGACAGGTCTAGAAGGACAAGAGCAGAGGAGAGAGAGTTAGCTTTAGCAGTGTGGAGAGCCTCCGTGACACAGAGAAGAGCAGTCTCAGTTGAATGACCAGTCTTGAAACCTGACTGGTTTGGATCAAGAAGGTCATTCTGAGAGAGATAGCAAGAGAGTTGGCTAAAGACGGCACGCTCAATAGTTTTGGAGAGAAAAGAAAGAAGGGATACTGGTCTGTAGTTGTTGACATCAGAGGGATCGAGTGTTGGTTTTTTGAGAAGGGGTGCAACTCTCGCTCTCTTGAAGAAGGAAGGGACAGAGCCGGCGGTCAAGGATGAGTTGATCAGCGAGGTGAGGTAGGGGAGAAGGTCACCGGAGATGGTCTGGAGAAGAGAGGAGGGGATAGGGTCAAGCGGGCAGGTTGTTGGGCGGCCTGCAGTCACAAGTCGCAAGATTTTATCTGGAGAGAGAGGGGAGAAAGAAGTCAAAGCATAGGGTAGGGCAGTGTGAGCAGGACCAGCAGTGTCATTTGACTTAACAAACGAGGATCGGATGTCGTCAACCTTCTTTTCAAGTGGTTGACGAAGTCATCCACAGAGAGGGAGGAGGGGGGGGGAAGGATTCAGCAGGGAGGAGAATGTGGCAAAGAGCTTCCTAGGGTTAGAGGCAGATGCTTGGAATTTAGCGTGGTAGAAAGTGGCCTTAGCAGCAGAAACAGATGAAGAAAATGTAGAGAGGAGGGAGTGAAAAGATGCCAGGTCCGCAGGGAGTCTAGTTTTCTTCCATTTATGCTCAGCTGCCCGGAGCTCTGTTCTGTGAGCTCGCAATGAGTCATCAAGCCACGGAGCTGGAGGGGAGGACCAAGCCGGCCGGGAGGATAGGGGACATAGAGAGTCAAAGGATGCAGAAAGGGAGGAGAGGAGGGTTGAGGAGGCAGAATCAGGAGATTGGAGGGAGAAGGATTGAGCAGAGGGAAGAGATGATAGGATGGAAGAGGAGAGAGTGGCGGGAGAGAGAGAGCGAAGGTTGCGACGGCGCATTACCATCTGTGTAGGGGCAGAGTGAGTAGTGTTGGAGGAGAGCGAGAGAGAAAAGGATACAAAGTAGTGGTCGGAGACATGGAGGGGAGTTGCAGTGAGATTAGTAGAAGAACAGCATCTAGTAAAGATGAGGTCAAGCGTATTGCCTGCCTTGTGAGTAGGGGGGGACGGTGAGAGGGTGAGGTCAAAAGAGGAGAGGAGTGGAAAGAAGGAGGCAGAGAGAAATGAGTCAAATGTAGACATAGGGAGGTTGAAATCCCCCAGAACTGTGAGGGGTGAGCCATCCTCAGGAAAGGAACTTATCAAGGCGTCAAGCTCATTGATGAACTCTCCAAGGGAACCTGGAGGGCGATAGATGACAAGGATATTAAGCTTAAATGGGCTAGTGACTGCGACAGCATGGAATTCAAATGAGGAGATAGACAGATGGGTTAGGGGAAAAATTGAGAATGTCCACTTGGGAGAGATGAGGATTCCTGTGCCACCACCCCGCTGACCAGATGCTCTCGGGGTATGCGAGAACACATGGTCAGACGAGGAGAGAGCAGTAGGAGTAGCAGTGTTTTCAGTGGTAATCCATGTTTCTGTCAGCGCCAAGAAGTCGAGGGACTGGAGGGTAGCATAGGCTGAGATGAACTCTGCCTTGTTGGCAGCAGAACGGCAGTTCCAGAGGCTGCCTGAGACCTGGAACTCCAGGTGGGTGGTGCGTGCAGGGACCACCAGGTTAGAGAGGCAGCAGCCACGCGGTGTGAGGCGTTTGTGTAGCCTGTGCGGAGAGGAGAGAACAGGGATAGGCAGAGACATAGTTGACAGGCTGCAGCAAATGGCTACAATAATGTAGAGGAGATCGGAATGAAATGAACTAAACATCTGGGAAAGGAGAGAGCGGGGCCTCCCTCAGCACAACTCCCAAATATAACTCTCCCAACTTCCACCTCAGAAACTATAATTGTTGTAAACTACAGCGGTTCAATGTTTCTAGGAATAGACTAACTCAGTTTATTCAGCTAGCTAACTAGGTGCAGTATTATTCCGTGAAAATCGTCCGGGCATCAAGTCATATGACGCCACAGCCAGCTAGCATGCCGGACTCCAGCAACACGGTTTAGCGCCAATACTCTGCCACAACAAACCACCAGTGTATCAACACGCAAGCAGATCGTTCGTGTCCGTGTCTAACGTTGTGGGTTAGTCCCGACAGCTTGAGCGAGTCCGTCGTCAACTTATTCAGCCAGTTAGTTGCTTTCAGACAAAGAAGAACCCCTCCTTTCACGGCACGAACACACAGAGAGAGCCAAACTAACGTTAACTAGTCACCCATGTCCCAAATTCCTTGAACGACTCGGGCAATCAATATGTAAAAAAAAAAAAACACAAATGTAGGTTATGACTTACCCCTAGCAGCTACTGTTAGCTAGCCAAGTGCATAGCTAGCCACTGAATTGACTCAGCCAGTTCGCGTCTGTTCACACGGTCGTTCCAGCTATTGTTTACTAGTAGCTATCCAGGTAGCAACAAGCTAGCTAATATTTCAAGCACAGTAGCCACTTGCTACCTAACGTTAACGGATCAGACAATGAGATTAGGAAACAGCTGAATGGTAGGCAATTATTGTATGTAATTATTGTAGGCAGCCTGCTGGTGTAATTACAGGCACTCTCAGGCGTGAAATAACTATACCGTTGCTAATAGCTACTCGCCAGCTAGTCCCGGTGGTGGGTTAGCTAGCTAGCTTCGTGCTACGCTGGGCTACGCTGGGCACAGCCGAATACAATACTAACCTACAATAATTACATACAACAACCCACAATAACTACCTACAATACCTAACTACAATCTAAATACATAGTTTAAGCCTTACTCGACAAAGCCCAAGCTATGTGTAAAGCCAAGCTTACCCGACGCCAAGCTTACCCGACGACCTCCCCGACGTGCTTCCACCTCAGCAAGGAAGCCATGCAGGGTTTAATGGTAGACTTTCATACAGTATCCCCCTGTCCTTTCCAGAACATGTAGAGAGAAAGAGGAAATAAAAAAGCTGCACTGACAAAAATGTGAGTCAACCTGTGGTTTGGGATAAATTGAGTGTATGTAAACTTCTGACCCACTGGGAATGTGATGAAATAAATAAAAGCTGAAATAAATCATTCTCTCTACTATTATTCTGACATTTCACATTCTTAAAATAAAGTGGTGATCCTAACTGTACCTAAAACAGGGAATTTTTATTAGGATTAAATGTCAGGAATTGTGAAAAACTGAGTTTTAATCAGCTGTCCGGGTGGCTGGTCCCACAGGTGAAGAAGCCGGATGATGTGGAGGTCCTGGGCTGGCGTGGTTACACGTGGGCTGCGGTTGTGAGGCCGGTTGGACGTACTGCCAAATTCTCTAAAATGATGTTGGTTGCGGCTTATGGTAGAGAAATTAACATTCATTTATCTGGCAACAGCTCTGGTGGACATTCCTGCAGTCCGCATGCCAATTGCATGCTCCTTCAAAACTTGAGACATCTGTGGCATTGTGTTGTGTGACAAAACTGCACATTTTAGTGGCCTTTTATTGTAACCAGCACAAGGTGCACCTGTGTAATGATTATGCTGTTTAATCAGCTTCTTGATATGCCACACCTGTCAGGTGGATGGATTATTTTGGCAAAGGAGAAATGCTCACTAACAGGGATGTAAACACATTTGTAAACAACATTTGAGAGAAATAAGCTTTTTGTGCTTATGGAACATTTCTGTGATCTTTTATTTCAGCTCATGAAACATGGGAACACTTTACATGTTGCGTTTATATTTTTGTTCAGTGTAATTTAAAGCTACATTTGGTAATGTATTGGACACTATAAAGACTAGCTAGGTATTGCAATAGCTATATACCATTTGCTGTAGTTGCTAGCATGTTGAATTATACAGGAAAGAGAGACTTTCTGACAACAAGTAGCCACTGGTCGGGTCCGATTTGATTCACTGCGTGGAGACACTGCGTGGAAGAGTGGTCCCAACTGCTAGAGAGAAGATGAGAGCGTGCAGGAGGTTCAGCCCCGTCCTGGGATGGGCGACGCATGTGTGAGGATGGCCGTGTGATGGCTGCCTGGTGGAACTGGAGGATCTGTTCTGTCTCTGTGTGGCAAGGCACGTGTGGGAAGGCCATGTGATGGCCATACGGTGGAAGCGGGAGGCTCTGTTTCGTCCCGACATGACGAAACACTGTGGGGAAGGCCATGTGATGTCCGTATGGTGGAAGCGGGAGACTCTGTCCTGTCTCGGCATGGCGAGTTGCATGTGAGGAAGGCCATGTGATGGCTTTGCGGTGGAAGCAGAACATTCGGTTCCATCTGGGCCTGTGTAGCAGACTGCGAGAAGGGAACCGGAGGTGTGGAGTGTAGGGAGGAAGTTCAGGAGGTCAAGGGTTCGGTCCAGGCAAGGTGCCAGAGCTCCAGTAGGGCGCCATGTTGGACTGGCCAAGTTGCACTTTGGTGAATGAGCCGAGTCATCCACTCGACCTGGAGAAAAGTGGAATATGTTTTGAGTGAATATGGAATGGAGGATCTTACAGAACTTTTGGAAAAGCTTGAGTAGGAATTTGAACGGGACGAGAGTGAGGATGGATTGACTGTGGTGGCAGGTGCAGTGATGAATGCTGAGAAGTTGAGTGAAGAGGGAAGCAGTGTGGTGAGGAAGGTTGCCGTCAAGTGCAAAAAGAGGGATACGTGCTCCGGTAGTTCAGAGATGGAACCTGGCGAGAGTGAGGATGATGTACCTGCGGTGAGGACCGCTGAGTTCGGGCCTCGTCCCGAGGATGGTAAGGATGATTCTGGCCCAGTGGGAGTGAGATTTGTAGAGAGAATGGATCCTTGCATTCTGGCTGATCCATATGTGGTGTCAGGTTGGGTGGAGAAGAGGTTGGGGAATGTTGAGTTAGTGAAGGTAACTTGCGGTGGACTCGTGATGATTGATTGTGTTTACTCTGCCCAGAGGGAGGTGACACTCCAGATTATGCGATTAGGGACAAGAATTGTGAGTTGCTTTGCTCTCCGGAGCAGGGCGCCATTGAAAGGAGTGATAATGGAGGTGTTATTTAGTGTTGAGGAGGAGCAGTTCAATTGGAAGATTCCTGGTGTCTGTGACGTCCGACGTTTGGTGAGACGTAGATCCGGTGGAGAGCGTGGGGAAACGGTGAAGACATTGTCTTTCATGCTGAGTTTTGATGCAGAGTCTTTGCCAGATAAGGTCAATGTAGGAAGTGTCAGTTATCCCGTGGGAGCTTTTGTTCCGAAAATACTACAGTGTTTTAGGTGTCAAGTTTATGGGCATGTTGCAGCAGATGCCTAGATGTGAGAAGTGTGCAGGAGGGCATGAGACGAAGGAATGTGTGGTATCGGTGGAGAAAGTTATGTGTGTTAGTTGCGGGGGTGCACATGGGGCTGGAGATTGGAGGTGTCCAGTGAGAGAAAGGCAGATTGAGGTTGCTAGGGTTAGAGGAGTACAGAAAGTGTTGTATGCCGAAGAAGCAGTGAAGAGAGTGGTAGAGGAAGATGGGTACATGGTGAGAGATCCTGAGAGGATTCCTGTGAGTAGGCAGAGACCCAGAGAGAGTGATGGGAAGAATATGTGTTTCAGTAAGGTGGGGTTTTTAGCATTCATAGCCATGGTTGTCAATTGTACTGCAGAAATGGTTCAAAAGTCACAGAAAATAGAGGTTTTGGTGGCAGCAGCAGAGAAGTACTTGGAATTGCAAGGATTTACGGCAGAACAGATGAAGGGGGTGTTGAGTAGTAGTGTTATGTCCTCTCAGATCGTTAGTCTGGAGTAGGACTAGATAGGGTTAAATAGTGGAATGGGGTGGTGTTTTTTTTAGAGAGGGCTAATAGTTGGCAGGGCAATTTTCCTTTTTCCCAATTTTGTA